GATTGATTAGACTAGAAATAATCAATAGCGGATGGAAACGTGAATGATATTTTTGCTGTCTATTGATACTTGAATATTTTTATCATGTAATGATTAGTAATAGTTTATTTGAGAGTAATTGATGTTAGTGCCTTGGGACTGAAATACGGATTTATTATCGTTAGACCAATTGTACTGAATAGGATTAGTTAGTCGGATTTCTTTAATTATTAATGATTATATATAAATTTTCCACACTAAATTCATTGCCTTGCTCAATTCAAGTTTCGTTCATGATGTGTTAATGTTCAGATGCTGAACAGTTATTTTACTTCATTATTATTCATGCCATTTTTCTCTTAGCTACAGTTGTTGTCCGCCCGTGCTCTCTATGTTCCCTGGAATTATTTTGCTCCTATATAGTTACACCATTCTCACATTTCTCACTTATCTGAGTGTTTTTAATTTGTTATAATATCACTGTTCGTTCATTGTGAGAATGAAACACAATTAAGTAGGTCCGGGTAGACCTCATCCGTAATTATGTGCGCCGGCAAGAGAATCAATTTACAATAAATAGTTGTTCAAAATTTTGAGGTGGAAGAAATGAGTGAATTTTATTGCGGTAAGCCGTTTTTGATCAAATTTTATGAAACTAGAATCAAACTTATGATATACTACGAAATCCATAAAATCAGGAATCTAATCATGAAATATAATGATTGTAAAAATCGGGACTACTACAGGAAATCAATGTTGTTAATCAATATTTCTAGAATAAAAAATGTTGTCAACTTCTCAACACGTTTAATTACATCGGCTTGATCATAAGTACACTCAGATATATCAGCGTGACTTCGTCTGGACAGCGATACCTTTTTTACCCTTGCGTGGGTCAACCCGACCCAGTTTATCTCCATAAAATAGGTCTAAAATTGCTACGTCAGGTAGCTTTTCGGGCTGCGATAAGATAGTGACCCACTGATTTTTATATGCGTACCAATTTCATGGTTGAACTAGTATAAGGTTGACCAATCAGAAGCCCAATTTTGCGGATGTAGTTCGTTCTTCGCATGTGACGTCACTGATCTCAATGACGTCACGGGCATTAACCAATCACCGAAATGCGATCAAACCAGTCAACCAATCCGTCATGCATGGGAATGACGGGTTTGTTTACATTTCTCGATCTACGTGACGTAACAAGAAAGCTGAACTGAAAGACGGAACTTCTCGTGGGTCAACCTTATATAGTTCAACCATGTACCAATTTAGCCGCCGTCTCACCTGCTACCTCCGGTCCGAACAAACGAGGAACCACGTACACGAAGGAGGCCCACAACGAGACCATCACACGTCCAGTACTGTGAGCCAGCACCAGCACCAGCTTGCGTGGTCATGCAGTGTACCGATAGGTGGAGCATCAATAACGGAGTTAATTTTCGACATGTCTTGTCAATTAAATATTTCGGGTAAATTATCATACTGAATTTACACTGATATTTATTTCACAACATCAAATTACAACATAGATTTAATTTACGATAAATATTACATTTATAAACCAGACAGTTAAATCCAACCCAAGCAGCATTAACTTAAATCAAGCTCTATATTTTATTCAGTAACATAAATTTATTGTGGCGTATTATTACTATTAAATATATTATTCGGTAACTTCATCTCGTGAGCTCAATCCCGTTAACTAAACAACGACCATGACACAGATCGACATCGAGGCTCCAGCAGTCGTCAGCTTCTCAATGCATGAAGCTGTGGTCACATTTGCTACCCAAAATCTATAAAGTTTTGCTTAATATAAATTTATTTACTTTTAATTACGCATTTTATCATAATTGTTAATAATACCCAATGATTTCTCCCATGACTTGAGTCTCAATAATTTCTTTAATGACATGAGTCAATGATTACCCCAATCGACTAACGTCAATTAATGACACATGTGTCGCCTGTTACGTTTGCTAGTCGTATGACTAAGTCCAGGCTAGCTATAAGGATGAAGATGGGAGGAGACGAGACTATAAGTTTGGGGAACTGTATTTGGTGGAATCTGGTATACAACTGAATTATAAAAGGCTTGCTGGCCTTACATGACCTACTATTGACAGCATAGTAGTTCTACTCTAATTTGTTCAATACGTAAACACGTAACATCGCCAATCAGCATGTACTGCGCTTGACTCTTTAGATCTTATAATAGGTTCAATTTGGTTTACAAAATAGATTGTCCTATTGGAAATTGGTGACGTACGTGTCGTGCATGCGACGTATATGCCATTGATGTTCGGGTTTTCACATAATCTTTTTCAGTACTTCCGTACTTCCATGTCCTATGTTATCTCGCTTGTCTTTCGAGCGAGGAAAATATGCGAACAACAATGCGGTATAGCGTGAGCTTGGAGATAACCCCGCCTCAGTCGATATTGAGCCATCAAAACCATGCATTTCTGTGGATTAACGTGCTCTGCGAATAGAGGTAAAGCGTTGGTTTTTCCAAGCGTTTGCATGGGAAATTTTCATGGCGAGATCGAAGTTGGCGTGCACGTCATCGTACCGTCGATGATATTGGAAAAATAAATATTCTGGAAAATTAATCGGTAGCATGAACACTGAACAAGTGGGTTGCATTGGAATTAGATTATGAGTTAAATTAAGAACATGCAACGTGCTTTTGGTCGGATATCCCGACCTCATACGTAAGAAATGTCTGAAATATTAGTTAAAATACAAATGAACAGAGTAACTATAACATGATGTACATCGAGTTCTTGTACTCCCACGGGTGAAGCAACATTTAATAAATCAAGATATTTATTTCAGCATCGAAACTCCACAATTTAAATTATGCTCTTGCTTTCTTTGTTATATAACATAGTTTCTTCAATCGAATTATGCTATAGCGTTCCAACAATCTGTAGAATTCCTGACAGTGCAATCCTCGCCCGCCATGACGCACATCGGAAACGAAGACTACGCCATCAGCGCACGTCCGTACACGTCAACGCGGCGCTCAAGTTCACATGCAGAGATGATCAAGGCTCAGTTTAATCTTTATCAAGTGAATGGGGTAGTATCAATCATGAATTTTAGGAGCAAAACAAGTGAAATTGCTTTTTTTTTGTAAATTAACCGTAAGCGAATAAATCATTAATTTTGTATTTTTTGTTGACATTTTGTCAACAGTAGTTAGTGGTAGAAAAGAGCATTTGTTTTCACTACGGAAATGAATCACGTACGTAGAATCACAAGCAAAGCTGAAACTGACTGTATGACATGAGCAATAAAGCCAATAATATACGCTAGAGGAAGCGAAAAATAACAACGATGACTGAAGTGTTACTCGATGTGTAGAGAACAACTTGAAATATGATGAATTAATTTGAAGTAAATTAGACCACTCCATAAAAAGCTGCATAGTTTAAATATTTTTATCAAATTATAGATGTTAATAACATATAAACGTTTAGTTTAGTTCAGTTGCCGATTCGATTATTACGTTAAGTAATAATCGAAGCTAAGGCAGTGAATTTGTTGCATCTTTTCTCGGCAGAAACAGGATTGCGAAGAGGCTTGAAGTTGGATTAAAGTCCTGCGTTTGAAGAAAGCAAAACTAGTAGTAATGGCAAGTTAATAGTGGCTTCAGCGCTCATTAATAAATAAAAATGAATGAATTATTAATAACTCATTTCAGCGGCCGTTCGACCTGTCGCCGATTCTTAACATCTCACTGCTCCAATTTAACTGTGCTTTTAACCGCCCGGCCTCCTCGCTGATTCCAACCATGAACTGGTGAACGGAGCTGGGATCGAACCGCAGCTCTCCTCACCAATCCTGTGATGTTTTGAACTGAAGCCACTAGGTCACTCTACCCAATATCTGTATTGTTTTATTTGAATGAGAAAAAAACTTTTGATGAGATAAGGCATACTAAATTATTGCCCAATGAACTGAATTTTACTTCTGAAATAATTCGTGTTTTTCAGGGCAAAAAATGTTAGCGCACTCTGTTATGGCGTTCTGTCATATATTAACGTATTTTTGTGATTAAGGTACGAGAGAGCTAAGCTCGTTAACTTAGCGGTTCTTTATTAATTCCAGATAAATATTCTTAGGATTAAGATAAATCAATAAATTGTGGTTACCACAGTGTTTTGTAATATTTTAGTGAGCTATTTCAACTTAATTGATGGTTGATGCGTTAATCATGGAGTAATTGAACTTGTACCAACCATTCAGATGAGGTTCAATTCTCCATATTCAATTCCATGACATAACAACGTCAGCCCCGAAACACGCAGGTAATCGTCAGGTCATATATGACATGTGAGTAACTCTTGATATTTTAATCAAAGTTGTGCTGAGCATGAACTTCAGTCCCGCCATCTTGAAGCGTTGAATATTGCGTCATCTTTCACGCAGCACGTTTGGTCACTGAATATATTTAATAATACAACGATGTGTCAGTTTTAAAATGTTTAATTGAATTATGAGTAACATAACTGTTATACTTAAAATGTTCACGTCTATAACGGTTTCACCGTGATTGCAGTTTTTGTTGATTTAAATGGCTGAATGCTTCACTACATTCTGTATACGTGTTACAGGATACTTCCATCCTAGGCTCCTCAAACGTAAAGCAAATAATCCTCAAATAGTTGTCTCGTGTTTTTAAGCACAAGGTATGCGTATAATACTTCAGTGACGTCACAATGAACCCTTTAATATCGCTGACATGATGTGCTCCACAAGTCCTTCCGATTAAACGAGTCGGACTGCGCACCAATTTGTTCAAGAGTTAGCTGTTGTTGCCGAATTGATTGGCATCAAAGGTTAGCATCATACAGGATCCTAGAATTTTCGGACAACGCTGAACAAATTTTTAACTGTAAGACAAAAAATAATTATTCAAAAATAAAGCACAGTGGTTAGTTAGGTAACAGCTGAACATCGTTCGCTCGAGTTCGAACTACGTCGTAACTATGCGTCCGCTGTCCTGTTCATCCAAAGCTATAAAGGAGGCCGCAACAACAGCCGTGCAGACTACGTCTAACGTTACTAGTACAAGGTTGAGTGTGTGTGCCCTCTCTCTCTCTCTCTCCATCAAGGCATCATTTAGAGCGCTCACCTTTATTTAATTAGCGTTTGGACTACAGAATATTTTAGCACACTGTCAAGGTACGTTTTAAATTAATTTCACGTTTTTTAGACTTATAGGTTCACGCGGACCGCGCTTACCAGTAAGTTACCACTACCAGCTGACTAACCGGTGGGTTATAGGTACACTAACTTGACTAAGGCTGAGTGATGAATGTATTTCTTTGTGCCCCGTACGGCCAGATGGCGCTGAATCTGTAAATCATTGTTACAAATCCGTGTTAGGCTATAAAATTTACAGTTGAACTTTAACTGTAATAGTTGAACTGTTTCAAGCAAAACTACAATATAAATTTTAAAGTATTGATTGCCTTGTTAGCTAATAAATTTTATTGGAGTTTGGAGAGCATCACTTAGCTTGAATCAACTGCAATTAAGTTTGCACCACATAATCATAACAATGGCCAAAAAAGACTTAAGTTCCTTTGATTTTGAGCACCTTTATTATTAATTAGATTGGTTTAACACTTTAACTTTAATAGTGTTGTAGGATAGAATGTATATATAATATACTAATACTGTAAAATACAGTAATACTGTCACAAGTAGAATATTACACAAAAGCTGAAATTTGATCTGTAACTTTAAGATGAAACTGATGAATGGCAGCAGGCAGCTCAAAACCACTTGCCAGTCACCACTCATTTCAGATGTTTAGCTACCAATTGCCATTAACATTAACAATCTAGAATTTTAAGCAAAATTTATCAAACATTGTGCTTAAAAACAGTTATCACAGGTTCATTTGCCAATTGCCACTAAAATGATTTTTCTAAGTAGAAGGCCTAAAGATGTCTTTTGAGTTTTTCCTTAATCCTTATTATACTGCATTTCTCTTCAACTTATATGAATATTCCACAAATAGGCTACACGGCTTCAAGTTCTTGTTTGTCTATCTGCTACGCTACAGTACAATATTTAACACACTTCTACAAGTTCTATCTGTCCAATAAGTCTACAATTTTACACGCTGGCATAAAGTTGTCAAATTCAAGACTATGCATGAGCATGAATGATGAATCAATTGACAGAATAAAAAAATCTAAATAATTTTTAAATTGATAAAATAATTTTATAATGTTTAAAAATGAAATAGCAATCTGGTCAAAGCATAGTTATATATGCAAATAATGCAATTTGGTCAAAGTGTGAATCAAAATCTTGTATTCATTAGATTTATTAACTTGTCTTTAAAGATGAAGAGAAGGCTTAGATCTTTGACAGTATAAACTTTCTAATCTTTTAAACTTTTTTCTCTGTCAGCTTCTCTAGTTGGTAGAAAGATGCAATTAATTATGTTCTCAAGCTAGAAACTGATGAAATAGAATTTAATTTTAAAGCTAAAACTGAATTTTCTTTGATAATTTGAAATTACAAATTATTTATGATAGAAAATGGACAGGCACTGAAATTTTTTACAAAATATCTAATTCTTGGCTTCAAATTTCTTGAGAATTTGCATTTGTTCTAATAAATTAACTGATGACTTAAACACTGATTTTAAATTTTGCATTGCAGATGCGTTTAGTAGTGCTTCTCCTCGGCCTGGCCTCAGTTGCCAGCGCTGTGTCATTCTATAATGTTGTCATGGAGGAGTGGGAGGCATTCAAGGTTTGTAAAACTTGTGTATATATCATTGGTTTATAAAATTATACAAAATTTTTTTTTTGAGGCATGATTTGATTTATTTCAAAATTTTTTGAAATTTTTCCTGTAACTTCTTTCAATTTTATGTATATCTATGTTTAGCTTCAGATCATTCATAATGGCTGAGAAGCAGAGAACTTGTAGAACAGAACTGCTATGCAACTGAAAAGAATTCCTGAAGCCAGTTAAGGCAATTCTTGTTGGCTATTGTGAATATTGTTTACCTTAACTGACAAAACCTGTAGCTTTTTCCATGATCAAGATTCAGGTCTCTTTTTAGCGCATCTTCTCATTTATGGAAAAAATTCACTATTGTGCTTGCCATGTCCGTCTATCTGTCCTTCCGTCCGTGACCTCAAGTTTTCATTGACGAGAAAATGCGCTCTCTGTCACTCACTGCAGTGAGTAATGAGTTATATTTTTTTGTATTTTTGTATTCATTTGTGTATTTTACAACACTTCTCTTTAATTTCACTTATTGTTTGTTTGTCTGCTACAAATCTTGTAATCAAAATTTAATACACTTCTACTTATCCTATCGATCTGAAATTTTGCACACTTGTGTAAAGTTGGAGACAATGCATGAATCAAATGTCAAAATGAATAATTTTAAAAATAAAAAAAAATGTTTCGCTAGGTACATTGAAAAAATTGAAAAAATAATGTTGTCAGCTACAAATCTTATAACTGATATTTGACACAGTTTTACCTGTCTAATTGATCTGAGATTTTGCACACTTGTGTGAAGTCAGAGGCAATGCATGAATCAATTAACAGAATAAATAATTTTGAAAAAAAATTACATTAAAAAAATTTTATATATTAAAAACATTGAACAATTATTTTTTTTAATATTCGAAAATTAAATGAGAAATTCATTGTACAGGTACATCTGTAAGATTAGAGACACTGGATTCTTTGGAAGTGTTGTCTTTAAAAAGTAATATTTAAACATATATTATTTATAACCTTTATTTGAGTGGCCCACTTCATTTTTAAATAACAAATTGAAGCCAAAAAATGTAGTTTTAATTAGGTATAAATTAATTTGAACCAGCTCTCTGCAGTTACCCATCTGCACAGTAGTGGGCCTTAACCTTCTCAATTGCTTATTCCAAAAATTTTCTCCAATGCTCTACTATAGATTTTCCTGGTGTGTTTTCGTCTTCTATATTGCATGTTGTTCATTGGATGTTTTCTACAGCTCACCCACAACAAGAAGTATGGGTCTGTGGAAGAAGCCTTCCGTCTGAAGGTCTTTGCTGAGAACAAGCATAAGATTGCCAAGCACAACCAGCTGTACAACAAAGGAGAGCGCACTTTTAAGATGAAGATCAATCATTTTGGTGATTTGGTGAGTGAATCACTAGAGGATTCTATGTCAAAATCTTGCTTTTTATCATGACTAATTTTATCATTAATTTCATTGTGGTAGTCTCTGAAGGCTTGTCATGTGCATGACGGCGACCACTAGCACCGGCTCTGATAACAATTGCTGGTGCGTAGGATGGTATAAAGTTTACTGTCGATGGATATGTTCCGTCTTACCATTGAGAAAAGTGGAAAAGTGTGGGATCTGGCACATTACTCCTCTTTAGGACTCGGTTGTATGACAAGATTCATGGGTGTTGTTTATCTTTTGTGCGCCTGGAATGATGGCTTAAGAGTCTTCCATGACAGACTTTCCTTGTTTGATCGGGCTGTCTGTCGGTGGGGTCCCTTCTCATCTTGCACAAAGGTTAAATCCTAATGTTTTCTAAAGGATCACTATTTTGAGAGAAATCGTAGCTAAACTGGTATAATGTATTTACTGTTTACAGTTACACCACGAGTTTGTGAGCATGATGAACGGCTGGCGCGGCAACGGCATGAACAGGAGCACGGTATACGAGGCATCGAACTATGTGGAGCCCGACAGCGACGTGAAGCTCCCCGAGACTGTGGACTGGCGCACCAAGGGGGCCGTCACTCCTGTCAAGGACCAGGGCCAATGTGGCTCCTGCTGGGCTTTTTCCACCGTACGCTCACTATCGGTCTACTCATGTTGCCTACCGTTACCAGAAATGAATAACATACAAACGATTAATCTAACTGTAGGCTGTGATTGAGTAACGTGCAAAATTGAAACCAATTTCTCCTAAATGAAAGCAGTTTACTAGAAATAATTATTAGAGAACACACTTACATTACTTCCACTACAAGTATCCAGTGCCAGAATTTCATTGGAATCGTCATCCCAGCATTACGATCATGTGTTATTCTGTTTGATTTCATTCAAGTCCTGTATTGTTTCCCAAATATTTGTACAAGGCTTCAAACAATTGCAAAATACTTCGGAGTTTTCTAACTGTTTTGTTTTGCTCAACGATGTTATATTTCCTTAATACAGTAAATAGATTGATTTCTGTATAAACTACATTTCTACCGTTTGGGGTTTGGCCTTACTTTCACCCTTGTATTCTAGACGGGATCATTGGAAGGCCAGCACTTCCGCAAGACGGGCCAGCTGGTGAGTCTGTCTGAACAGAACCTGGTGGACTGCTCGGGCAGCTTCGGAAACGAAGGCTGCAATGGCGGACTCATGGACAACGCTTTCCAGTACATCAAGGCCAACGGCGGCATCGACACTGAAGACGGATATCCGTACAAGGGAATTGTAAGTAATCGCCGACTGTTGGATTTACTTGCTAGGTCTTAATTACTATCGCACACCATCATGATAATCAAACTAACTTTAAGTAAAGGGTTAAAGAAGTTTTCACTATCATGCACATCTTGAAAAGTTTTTCTCCATTGTGATAGCGATGATCGCAGCAAATCAGAAGTGACGAGCGGTTAGGCCTGCGAACTGAAAACAATGCTGTTATTCGAGCTTGAATTTAAGTGCAAAAATTTCTGAATGATTATGTGTGTAAGTCACCGCTAATTTGATGTTATTGCTTCTAATTTATTGTTACATACTACTTAGGCGGTTGATACGATGAGCCAAAAGTATTATTGGAGACACAGAGCAGAGTGTATTTTAGAATTCTCGCTGGTTCAAAGTGGGAAAGTAATGTTTCAAAAGTTTGGAACCACTTCTTGGAAAAAAGCATTCAGATATCGAATGCATAGCACACAATAATTGATTTATTTATAAGAAGTTGTTATCGAAGAAGTATAATTTGTTTGGTACTGTTCAAGAGCATCTGTACTGTGAACAATAATAACTAATTCAAAGCCGCTCCTATTCTGAAGGATGAGAAGTGCGAGTTCAGCAAAAGCGATATCGGCGCCGACGACACAGGCTTCGTGGACATCAGGAAGGACAGCGAGAAGGCGCTGAAGGCGGCCGTGGCCACCGTGGGTCCTGTGTCCATTGCCATCGATGCTTCCCAGCCGTCCTTCCAGTTCTACCACTCGGGTGAGCAGCTCTCGGCCTTGCGTGGCTTTCTAAAAATTCCTTAATTTCTTCAAAAAAATTTAAGATTTGACCGGTAATGTATGTGTTGCATGCTTTGTATGGGCGATAACTGCTAATTTGTTTGCTTCCCTATATAAGTTTGCATTCGTCTGATTGTAGTGTTTGAAAATGGTTTAAATTTTTCTGTATATTTAATTCATTTCTAAAAATCCTAACCGCTAATGAAATGAAACTGGAATTATTAATTGCTAATTCTACATCTACGTTAAAATAATATGAATAAAAGTTCATTTCTATCGTCACTGACTTTGTTGCTCGACTCTTGCGTAACATTAAAAAATAATGCCGTTCGGCTTGCTTCTTTGATTTGCCTATAATTTATTTTTTTCCTACCACAAATGCAAATTTTAAATTGGATGAAATCAATGTGCAGGCGTGTACAACGAGCCAGAGTGCTCCAGTGAGAACTTGGACCACGGCGTCCTGGTTGTGGGATACGGAGCGGAAGACGGTCAGGACTTCTGGATCGTGAAGAATTCATGGAGCGAGAAGTGGGGCGACGAAGGATACATCTACATGGCTCGCAATGCGAACAACATGTGCGGCGTGGCCTCGCAGGCGTCCTACCCTCTTGTGTAGGCCAGCACGGCGCTCGTCCTGCTCTCTGGTCTGCACTGGAGGAACATGAAACTGTGTGGTTGTTATGGTGAGAAGATCATGACGCTCCTCCTTTAATTCAATCCTATGTTCTCTTCCTCTTCTTATTTTTAATTTGCTCAATTTTTTAGGCTGTTGAATGGAAAGCCTATTCTTACTTGATTCAGCACATTTTCAATATTTTATACTGTATGACTCAATTTAGCACAATTCTAAGTCTCATCTTGATACTCATATACGGTATGTGCAATTCGTTGCTCTAGCCAAATTTTATTCTCAACATTTTCTGCCGTGTTCACTAGGCATGTCTCAAGAGTTCTTGAACAATCACCATGGCTGCTTTGTGCGAGGAACAAGCTAGTTTTAGATCAACGTATATATATAAGGTTTCTGTGTTCTACGTTTTACTGTCGCCATTTTGGCTTTTTACTTTTACGTAGTCTTACTGGATTTCCCAATAGTTTTAGGCCCGCTCATTATGTCATTATATACTCTGCAAAGATCTCTTCTCTTGCTACTCACAGTAAATTATTTTACACTGACCCGTGCATTCTTAACCTATCTATCTTTAATCATGAGCTTTGGCTGAGATATTGATTTCTAATCGCGTTTATCAAGGCTGTCTAGAACGAATCGTTAGGTCTCCCTTAATTTCGACCGAGAAATATTTCGAATTCAGTCAGAAGTTGACCGAAGTCAGTCGAAGTTGACCTCGTAAAGCTCATGTTAAATGGTATTAAACCTCTAGCAATGGAGCAATGGACGTCATTGTGCCTAATTGTTTGTAATGATACTTTATTTTCAGAAATGCTCAGGTTTCCATTAAGAGAATTGGAAATGAGGTCATTATTATTATTATTTAATTTTTTTTTTTTTTGAAAACATTTTTATGGCTTCTATTATAATCGAGATGTTGTGAACTTAGTTTTTACGTATTAAGACGATTCGAGTCGAAACGCAACACCTCCTGGTGTTATTAAAATAAACAAATGATATTTGTAAGCCACTATAACGAGAGCACGAATGTCACGAGTCTTTTGCTTGCTTAATTTGAATTTCGATTTTGTTGAGAGGGGTTCCCATAATGCGAACTGACCAAAATGCTTGTTAAAACGTTTTTTTTTCAATTTTTGACTTCAAAATTATGTCAAAAGCATAAACGATAAATTTATTAGAATCAAACAACAGCCAGACTACTTATTAATACATAAAAAAATTATGTGCCAAGAATTAGTAAATCAATATCCCATTTATTGTGCGTGCTTTTTGCATTACGTCAAGTTGCCATGTTTAAATTCATTCGGGTCGTGCTACGAATTCTTCACCGCAAGATTTAACAACACGATGCTGTTGAGGGGAGAAGACTGCAAACTTCGCCTTGTTGAAAATTGAACTCAATTTTATTTTTTCTTTCGGTTGCAAAATTTTCATTCATAGCGTAAACTGTAATGAATTGCCTTAATTTATTGGTAATAAAAACTTGAATTAGTGCCGAGAAACCACGCACATAAACGGTTGGATTGTTTAATAACGAAATGATGTGCATTATTAACACTACATCATTGATGGCCAAAACTTGATTGGTGGTAAACGCTCGGATTAAATTTCTGCTGCCAAACATAATTAATTGCAATTATACCAATAAAAGAAATAAGGATTGCCCTCGCTACTACCTATCTGTTTATCATCACAAAACGTAACTTAGCGTTGAAAGCGTATGACTCACTGCTGACACATGTTTGGGACAGAACCACGCAGTCACTTCGTCACTTCTGAACGACATTGAAGTGCAGATGAAGATAGCTGAAATTATTGAAGGCTGCAAGACCAATCCTTAATTTGACAGGCCTAAGTGCAATTTAAAATATTTTATTGATGTATTGAATGTAATTTAAAGTAGTGATGAGAAGCAATTGAAAGTTGAGGTACAGAGTCGACTACTAAGTCGGAATGGAGATCTGCTCGTGACCATATGTAGGCCACTCATAAACATATGATTGCAGTGTTAAAAGAGGCGGTTGGATATGGTGAACATTGAATACACAGTTTAGTCTGCGGAAGGGATCCTTTTCCACGACGCCACCAAGGGTGCTCAATGCCTTGCCGACTCGCGTTGGTTGAGGGATTGAGTTTACCCTCCAGACCTTCAAGCAATGACTGGGTGCGATACTACGTACAATTCCTGATAGTTCATCTCCGTCTCAGTACTATCGGCTAAAGGCTATTTGCAGCACCTTGCATAAACCTGCCAAATGAGTACTAGTACGCGTTAATTACATTCGCTGTCTCAGGAACCTCTGTCGTGTCAACCTGCGTGCCTACGGCGGCTGAGGGATTGCGGACGAAGACGGTCGATAAGCGCGACTAAGGATGGGGAGACCCATAGCAATGTCAATACATAACATCATCATATAGAAGTGCTTGGCACTAGAAACAGTTACTCATTTGATGACAGTAATTCATTTTTATACATTTGCATTGATGGGAGATAAGAAACCATTTCAGCTTAGATTTAGATGTGACTGGTTCTATACGTTACTGTAAGTGCCCAACTGTATTATGCGTAATGTTACTACACGCTTGAAGTTGGATAGGAGTTAAAAGACTAATTGTCTGCTTTGTCGAAATCCTGCATTACTCGCCCATCTGTCACATCAAGTGCCTGAGAAGGCGAAACTCTCAGACTTCAGCTGAAAGGTTTGCTGTTGCCGCGAAGGCCTTGCACGTGACGGGGCTGTTGCTCGTCGTGAACTGGACTGCGATGATGACGTAGGTAAGCGCGATGGATCCCATCTGGACAGAGTTTCCTGATTTAATTCGAAGAGCGCGGCAAAATTACCCAAGCTGAGATATGCTCAAGTTACAATTTGAATGTTGACGATGAAAGAAAAAGGTGACAAATATTAGTTAAACCTTTCAGAAAGCTTGTGCAATAGTAATTCTACTGTTTTTTAGAATGAAAAAAAAAGTAAATGTATGATTCTGTACATTTTGAAAGGTATTAAGGCTATTAATCAGTCAAACTCAATAACATACGTATTTTTTTATTATATGTTAAATTCAAGTTTTGAAGTTACTGGAAAATTATTTAACTATGTATATTTTTGGTTCAATGAGCTGGAATTAGGCACTGAAAAAGGCAGCAAAATTCATTTAAGGCATTTTTTTCACTAAAAAATTGAGCGAGATAGTGAATTGTTTCATTTCTACCGTACTGGCGTTAGACGTTAGCAGTCGAGAGATTAAGGAAACTATATATATGTCGACAGAGTGATCGGTAAATTCAGGTATTCTACATAAATATTCATTGCTTTATCAGTATATGAAGCTGCTACTATAAATTAACATTTTAAAGAGACTTGTGGTCTACACGCTTAGTTGATTTCCCGGCGTCAAAATGGATGTAGCAGAGGATGCAATCACGTACATTTAATAATCGGCATTTGCGTAAGGTGAGAAATATGTGTTTTCAAAATTAAAATGAAGATTTTTTCTAGAAGTTTATAAGTAGCTTACAGTAACACTTTTCAACCCATGACAATAATTTAGCCCTCATCGCTCACCGACAGCAGGCAGTGTCGGCCCAACTCAAAGAGGCCGAAGACCGAGAAGCGCGGCATGCTCTTGAGCTCAGCCTTGATGCAGTGAAGCTGCCACATCGCCTGCAACCGTAGCGAAATTTAGGAATTATGATTTTACTCCACATCAGACATTGATGGCTTTAGGATTAGGAATTCGTTACAAACACAACGACCACACTATAAACGCTCCCAAAGATGTCTACTGCATCTCAGGGAGGACACAAATTTTTCAGAGCTTGAACCTACGACTCGTTGCTCGTCTCTGTACGTTACACACCTCAACCACGTCGAGTGTACAAAGACCATATCAAACTTTCAATATCCGTCTCCTTGGCCGTACATCTCGGGTCATCGCGTTTTACTGGATGGCGGTGCTCGTATGCGATATGACTTGTTCTGATTGTTATGACGTCATTGCAAATCGCTCACTAGATTTATCATCGCCCTGCCATTGAATCTCTAAAATTCAGCTCATATTCAAATCCTAAAATTGATCAATGAATTCCAATTAGTCATTTGCGACCGTTGTCATTAAAATGTCGAACGCAAATTCTAGGAACGTGCCTCTGTTTTCTGCTGTTCCAAGCGTCCCGCTGCCGCTGTTAGCTTACTGACCCGCTGCAGTCCATCTTCACACTGAAAAACATGGAAACATTTTTATAATAATGGTACGAATGCTCTATCGAATTATTCCATATGTTGGACATAAGTGCACGCACTGCTTGGTCGTATTATGCGATCTTGTGTCAACAAGGGCGAAGAGAACTATAAGCACCAACTGGTACTGGTCGAAAACGATCGCTCCAAGGACAACGCCTGAAAACGCCTTTTGAGTATCAGTTACGGCGCGACGAATCTTCATCACGCGAATTCTGACTGTGGCCAGATCAAGCTTGGCTTGCTCTTCGGTTCTGTTGTCGGAAGACTTTCCAAGCTTACCAAATGAAAAACGACTTGTTGCATTCTTCAAATCAGTTGTAAGAAGTTTCATTAATGAGTGGAAAATAAAGGGGAGTCCAATGTTAGAGAAGTTAATCAAATTCCTTCCACAATTGACGAAGAGTATGTACATCGTTGATGCTTGTTGATTCATAAAAGTGTTGTAAATCCATTGTTTGCCCAAAACAGTGCCAATTATTCCTAGTGCGAAATATTGGGATTTGCTAACTGAATTTAGCGTGGTTGATGAAATTTTCAGGTATCGCATTATTCTTACGGTATGGGCACTCGAGGCCATGAAATGGTACGAGACCAACATCATCATCCCGTAGTAGCATGGTGAATATAACGCTCGAACAATATTGTAAGGGTTCGTTTCCATTATCGACAAAAAATAAATCAAATCTGATATTTTGTACGATACAGAAATGAACATGACACTTTGCAATGCGATTCCGATACCTTGGCGAACTTGAGACTTCACGAAGACACCGTCTCGCTCCTCATAAGGAGCGAGACCAAGCGCCCGCATCAAGTGCAAAAACCACAGAAGCATGCGCCGCATTTCAAACTTTGGTCCGAACATGATCACTGAACTTATAGTTCACTATAACGAAAGCTGGTCAAATTTCTACTAAAGTGTGTGTAAAACTGGCCTTCGAAGTTTTATTTCTTGCGATAATTAGAAACTTTGCGACAACGTTTCTAAGGACAGTCGGGAGCAGAACAAGTCACCACAGTCCACACGGCCAGCACCCATACCGCATACGACTTGGCGAACATCTAATCGGAAGTTTTGATCACCAGAGGCTTTTAGCGGCGCCACGTCTGAGTTTGCGAAATGCGACGAGCAAACATGATGGCTTATCGTGACTTCTTTGTAAATATTCTCGAACGTAGTAAATTTAATCAACTTAAAGGTTTAAGACGCAAGTCTTCTAATTCATAAGGCAATGCATTGAGATTATGGAGATTAAATTATTAACAAAATCAATTTTTGATGAACTAAGAACGTATGTTCAACAGAAGACGTAGCAATATTGTATGATCGAAATTGTATTCAATAAATTTATATTTATGCACTCTATAATAAATCAAAGATTTGAGTATGCCAATCAGTTTAAATAGATTTAAAAACTCTGCATCGCCTGGCAATGATAAATGCTGAGGAGTCATCCTTCATTTGTAATCCTCCTCCTCAAAACAACGTTCAAGAATAACAGTTTATGCCCCGCTTCATGGCATTTTATTAATTGAGCACAAGTTTCATGGCATTTTATTAATTGAGTACAACCTAAGCTCGACATTTAATAAGAAATTCATTGAATAGAATAATGTAAGCTTGAATATATGCACGATACTGACACGCCGCCTTGAGGTACCCCGCCTATGAGTCGAGAACAAACCGAAGTTTAAAGAAAAATCTTATGAAAATCTTCAATCGTTAAGACGTATATACCTAACTACGCCCTGAAGGTAGTAAAACTTTAATTACTCTGCTCTCGCGAGTGCAAACGTAAATTGAGTGAATATAAACTTTTTCCCATATTATGTGAAATTTGCACCTTCTTTCGGGTTCTTATGCTGAAGAAAATTTTCATTTAACATGCACTTAGTAATCAAGATTATTTTGAATTCTTTAATTTCCACTTGATGGCAAGTAATCTGCATAGCGGAAGCGAGCCGAACGCGTATCAGGAAGCGATATCTAAGGTATTTGGTATCAAAGGGTCGCATCAAAAGAGGCTAAGCCGAAAGTATCTCGCCACCCATATATCCCTACGTGAGCGCCAAATTACAATAACCTGATTTTTTATCTGTTACAGAAATTAATAAATTATTATTGTTTCAATTTTACGGAGCAAAAATGTCGTTCACTTGGGGTTTAAAAGGAATTCAATCATTACCTCCGACGGCGTAGTTTTAAAATAATAGAGTCATTAAAAACACTGCCGAGTCGAATTTAATGTCACTTTAAGGCGGGTAAAAAATGAGGAACATTTTGGAAATAGATGTTCATTGAATGTTGTATTTTTTTCGTTTTCATCATACTTTACCATATTTTTCCTCGCAGCCCAGATTCAAAACTTTATTTGAATTGCAAATTCTGTGTTGGATAATATCTGAAATAATATTGAATGATTTAACGCTAAGATAAAAGAGGTTGACATGAACTTTGCTAATACATAACCAATGAGCATGAAACTATATTGATCAAAACATTTATTGAAGCTAAAGAAATCTGTTATTGAGCTCGATTGTCATACGTATTTTCCTCTTATCAGTTTCAGGATATTCCGTAAACGAGATACAGATCGTACTAATTTGTCATGTGCAAGAACGAGTATTGTATGTGAATATACAAGTACAGAACTCTGACATGGAGAGAGAGAAAGAATTACATTCGACCGTAAAATAAATTACGCTGATTTTTACATTTTCATAATTTCACATTTTTCTCCATCGCGACTAAGGTGATTGAAGTAAATTCAGAAAAATTGTGTAAAAAGACAGTTATAACATTGAACTATTTAACTGTTCTATTTATATGTTAATTATGAGTATTTATTCAAATATATGTAGTAACACTAAACAGCAGTGTAAAATAGTACTTGTGAGCACTAATGTTCTTGCCAAAAAAGGTTTACTTCATTTTGCTGTAATGATCTACTAAAAGACTTTTTTTAAGGTAAATTCTCGAACTTGTCAGGCTTCTGTTGCCGCGAAGGCCTTGCACGTGACGGGGCTGTTGCTCGTCGTGAACTGGACTGCGATGATGACGTAGGTGAGCGCGATGGATCCCATCTGGACAGAGGGTAATGAATTAGCAAAAGTAAAGCATCTAAAATTGTTCAAGCTAGCATTTGCTGAGATTGCAGCTGGCTCCTTAACGATGAAAAACATTCTGTAGCGAATGTTTGTTTAATTATTCGGAGAACCCGTGCGAAAGTAATTTGCTGGTATTGGAGCAGAACTTCGTTCGTTACAAAAATGTTAACTGAGTAATTTTTGTTACATTATATTATGGGGAATATCCGATGAGGCTTTGAATCATTGTCCGATATTATAGCATAATTGGCAATATTTCACTAGTCTTTTTTATAATTGAATCAAGTGCAGTAGAACAATAGAGCCAACGCGAAGAATCTATGTGGGCATTGCATGGAAGAAATATTCTCATTGCTTGCGTGGAGTCTTGATAAGTATGTCTTTAAAATTGCTTATAAGCCTTTACGGCCCACATATCTTAACATACAGAAGAGAGTAATTTTATTCTGAACAATTAGTTGTTGCTAAAATAGGGACTTGCGCAATATGGAACATAAAATTTGTTCGAATTATCGCTAAAAATAATTTTGTGAATCTTTGATTTTGTGACTCGTTTCACTTAGTTGCACAGGACGATGTTTTTAGAATTTTATTTGTTTAGTTAGCTAGTAATAATAAACCGTAACATATTATTTTCAATATTAAAACAAACAGTAATTTATAGAACTTATTTGACTAACTATTCTAACACCACCAAGATCTGGACAATAATGTAGATGGCCCCGAGTACAGCGCTCACCGACAGCAGGCAGTGCCGGCCCAACTCGAAGAGACCGAAGACCGAGAAGCGCGGCATGCTCTTGAGCTCAGCCTTGATGCCGCGCAGCTGCCACACCGTCTGCAACCCCGATGCAGTTTGCAAAAAATATCCACCATTCTTTCATTATTAGTAAAGAAGAGATCAAGAATATTGTGTTCTCTTGTCGGCGACCGTACCTGCTGACTGAGCAAGTGTTCCGCAGCATCACTACCATGCATTTACTATACCATGATCCGATGAAGCATAAGGTTATAAGGCATAACAGGTCCTATACAGTTAGTCTTGCAAAATGACATCAGAATCATACAACAAATAATAAATTCAAAACTTTACTTTTCCGCGGAATTAATGGTAACTAGCACGAGAAACAATGGTGTTTACTAATTAGCTTGCAATAAACAAGTTATAAACATCGTTTATATTTAAACTAGTGTTTTGTTTTATATGCTCGTACCGGTATCTGTTTAACATCATCTACTTGAATCGCCGTCTCACTTGCCACCTACAGTCATGAGTGCAGAGAGACCACTTGAGAGAGGTTCGCGATGAGACCATCACCAGCACGGTCCTGGAATATCTTGCACCAGCGTCGTCTTGTGGTGCCTGGTCGCAATAAATTAAGGCTCTCGTCATTAGGATGAGTCATCAGCTGTCGAATTGCAACAACCGAATCCGCCGGAACTTTAACATTCAAATTATTTCAGTGATTGATTTTAAATCCTGTTTTTACTCTACGTGTTTAATTCACAATACTTGAAGTAATTTTGCTTTATTATTAAGTATTATGTCGTTCAAGAATCTCAATTACACGCGTTGAGAACTGTTCGTTTCACTCGACAATGAACTATTCCCGTTTCATCATGGACAAAGTATTTTCGATGAAACTGAATTTCCATAAAAGCTCTACCTTTCATTTTACTGGAAAAAGTTACTAACAATAAATAGTTACAAAACTTATTAGGCTGAATTCACATAGTGAAATATGAATGATGTATAATTTCCGATGATAACTTCCTACGCCTGCCAGTTTGAATAATGTTCAAAATAGTCTTCAGAAATCTATTTCGCTCACCTTCACTATTGTTTGAAAGGGAATGTAGAAAATAATTGACGCATGCGCACAAGTTTATGATCATTTTTATAATTTAAGTAAAAGTATCTCTTGAATATATACCGCATATCACCTAAAATGAGTTTTATTATCTAGATTTCCTGAAAAGCGAGAACTGATTATTTGTTCATTTATTTTATGAAAATTAATTCAGGATACGAAAAACACGATATGCTACTCATGTCTGAACTCCCTAACCGATTACGAAAATCTAACGCGTAACAATTAATCTCCCTGAATTAGAGAATATATTTTCATGTGCCATCATCATCATCATCATTAACAATTCGGCACAAAATATAGTGTTGTGTCAATTTTTTCCAAAGACTAGCGACCAGTTGTAGCCTCATGTAGGTCGTACGTTATTGTGAAAACGATTAGCTACTCGGCGTATTTCATCCTGTAACATCGATCTCGAGTTAGCAGTATTCCGATTTTTTTGTTCCGAAGCATCGGTAATCTATATTTTGAATTTTTTATAGTTATTAATTTGGAACAGGCAACATACCGTTATAGCTTCACTCGAACAATTTCTAACATTTATTTATTTCACTAACAATTGGTTTGTTTGTAAACATAGCAACCGTCAAGAACGTCGATTGCGAAAAACACAACACACACTACATTTGTGCCTCTCTTATAGTAATTCACTAGTCGAACATAAACATGATAAAAAAATGTTTACATAAAACTGTAAACTTGTAATCAATGAACTATCTCGAATGAGCTGGTCGCGCATTCGACCTGTTGCGCCACTGTTAAAAAATTTTCGCAGGAATTCCTACAATTTATTTATGAATTTCACTGTCAAGAGCTTTTACATTGAATTATGAATGAGAACATTCTTCATACTTTAAACTCAAGGAAACACTCAACAAAGTTAAGTAGAAGCTCAGAGACTAATTATCTGCTTTGTCAAAATCGATCCTTAGTCGCCCATATGTCACATCAAGTGTCTGAGAAGGCGAAACTCTCAGACTTCAACTGAAATGTTTGCTGTTGCCGCGAAGGCCTTGCACGTGACGGGGCTGTTGCTCGTCGTGAACTGGACTGCGATGATGACGTAGGTCAGCGCGATGGATCCCATCTGGACAAACTTTCCTGATTTAATTCGAAGAGCGCGGCAAAATTATCCATGCTGAGATATGCTCAAGTTACAGTTTGAATATTGACGATGAAAGAAAAAGGTGACAAATATTAGTTAAACCTTTCAGAAAACTTGTGCAATAGTGATTTTACTGTTTAGCGCATTTTCTCATTTATGGAAAAGATGCACTATTGTGCTCGCCATGTCCGTCCGTCCATCCGTCTGTCCGTCCGTTACTTCACGTTTTCGTCGACGATAAAATGCGCTCCCTGTCACTCACTGCAGTGAGTACTGAGTTATATTTTTTTAGAATGGCCAAAGAAAAAGAGGTAAACGGATGATTTTGTACATTTTGAATGGTATTAAGGCAATCAATCAATCGAACTGAATAACCTACGTATTTTTTTATTATATGTTAAATTCAAGTTTTTTAAATTACTGGAAAATTACTAAGCTATGTATATTTTTGGTTCAATGAGATGGAATTAGGCACTGAAATAGGCAGCAAAATCCATTGAAGGCAATTTCAATTTCACTAAGAATTTGAACGAGATATTGAATCGTTTCACTTTTACTGTGCTTGCGTTAGACGTTAGCAGTCGAGAGATTGAGGAAAATATATATGTCGCCTGAGTGATCATTAAATTCAGGTATTTTACAAAAACTTTCATTATTTTATCAGAATATTGTAAGGGATTGAAATCATAGTTATTTATGTATCAGCGTATTGACTGTATAATTTGTTTATAGTCCAGAATTTTAAATTGTCATTTTAGTTTAGAGTTTACGGAAGGCTAAGGGGCAAGGGCGGAAGGATGAGGTGGTAGGGTTATTGTGTCGTGGAAAGCCGGAGCGGAGGTATGTGCTGTGTTAGGATGTCAATATGTAAATATTTATGTGAATAGATCTGATACGGAATAGAAATGTAATTATTTAGAGTTTATAGGTATGCTAATGTTTGTTTTCTATCGGTTATTTATATATTTTTATTTGTACTTTTAGGAAAGCCTCAAATGCCGACCTGAATCTCAAATGTCAGGATTCAAAACTTGAATTCAAGAAGCGACTCAAGAGGAAAGAATGCAACGATGTATAACATTTATATGTAATCATTTTTTACAATAAGTTTACTACAACACGTTGATTATTTATTTGAAAGTGTGGTGCAATAAAGTGTTTAAATTATCGCGCATTAGTGACTAAACCTATACGATCATGTAGGCTAGTCATGCAGAGAGCCCCAACAATATGAAGATGCTATTATAAATCAACATTTGAAAGAAATTTGTGGTCTACACGCTTAGTTGATTTCCCGGCGTCAAACCCAAATAAAAATTAAGGGTGGAGCACCGATGATAATAGGTGGCGATAGTAGATTATAGGTGGCGTAACGGTGGGTGGCCAGATCTGCCGAAAATCGACAATAAAACACCAATAAATCGAAAGAGTGGCGAGTATAGGTGGGAGTCATCGATGAATCATCGATGATTTGTAGGGTCTGAAACATCTATGGCTCATTGCAGACAAATCTCTTGTGAGCCACCGATAACCGTTTGCCCAAACTGCACAGTGCACGAAGGTATTTGCCAATGTAATTTATCCAACGTAGAGAAGTGTTTTTGGGTTGCAGGTCATTCAAGATTAAGACGAAACCATGACTTGTGCTTGGCGTTCTGGCGTTCGTTCGGCGTTCTGAGACGAAACGCTCTGTGTGCTTGGCATTTAAGATTAAGTTCTGTTAAGAAAATTTAGCGAAAATTTAGCGTGAATTCAGTAGGTATGAGTAAAACTGACAGATAGACAAGGTGTTCACAAATTTTCCAAACTAAAGTGAAGCCACTGGGCATGTATCACACTGCTTCTGATATAAATTGTCCGCAGAACACTGGAAAATTTTTGTCGCAAAAACTAGTTTCTCAAAAGATGACAGCGAATCCAATTTTTTATGTTCACATGAGATATTGAGTAAATTTATTACGAATTTTGCGTATACGCCAACTGGCTGTGTTGAAAATATTGCGATCAATTCAGACTAATTATTGTATCATTAAGTATAAATTGCATGGATCGATTGAGTGTGTTATATAATATTGACAATATTCTCAAATCACCACATTTATCTAAACTCTAAAGCCACGTCGACGTAGTCTGTAAAGGAAAGGCATCTCTAAAGCACAGCGGCTAGGCGGCTTCCAAGCACAGCGAGCAGTCGAGCAAGCACACGTTCACTCGAGTTGGGTTTACGGGAGTCGGCGTTGAGCTACCTACTAATCTTACTAATCTTAACTATGACCTGCTTCCTAATAATCTTTACCATGTCCTGCTTGAAATATGTGCTTTCCGGGTTATTTTTTCGTCAAAAAAGTATCATTTTTACGCAGAGGGATACGAATAAAAATTCGTCTTTCTATCGCTTACTAGAGTGGTCCTGGTATCTTTTGTACGCAAAAGATTGAAGATTATGCAAGAGAAAAATAGTGGCACGAAGTGGAGCAGGTAATTCACGCCTGAAATTTCAAAATAATCGAGTGATATGAATTCTTAATTCACGCAAGAATATTCTTTATAAAATATTTCGAATCAAACAGCTGTCAAAATCGGTGTAATGTTCACATTATGAAACTTCGATGCTTATTAAGCATTTTTCCGTAGCCTTTATTCTGAGCTGAACCATAGTTCGTTACGAATAAACGGAGTTTGTTTCAGTGGCTGTTTATTTGAATGTAGCAGCATGTTCAAATATAATTATTGATGGAACCATCTAATTATCACGGTGGTAGCACTAACTTGAAAACTTCTGTAATTCGATGAAATTAAAACTTGCAATACTTCAGTCAAATATTTTAAAATTACTCAAGAGGCTAGTCCTCTCCTATAGCTCAACGGTAGAGGCTCTGCTTCGCGTGTGGGAGACCGGAGTTCGAATCCTGCAGGCATGGAGTTTCTTCAACTCGATTTCTCACGAGGTATGTGTATGGTACTCTGAAAATTTGTTCCTGCTACATGTCCGACATTGTTACTTGTACTATAATGGTAGATCTATGTACGCAGCCCTTACAACGCTGATTGTGTGGAACTATGTCAGTAAATACATAAGCATCGGATTAGAAACTAAATTAAAATTTTTTTACGACTTCATTTTAAAAAGTGGCCATCTGTGGCTCGTCAATGTGCCACTGGTGCCAATGGGTAGTTATTTGCGGAAGAAGAGCTTTACGGGTAGGGGGGCCATAGGCAGGTTATAAGTATGGTAAAGGTGGTGCACGCCACCCTTAATTCACTATATAAATCATAGCTGCTCCACCTATGGCGTCCGCCTATTGCCATCTTAAAAACATAGGTGCTCCACTCATAATTTTTATTTGGGAAATGAATGCATATAGCAGATGACAAAAGCACGTACATTTACCAATCGGTATATGCGTAAGGTGAGAAATATGTGATTTCAATATTAAAATGAATAGTGTTTGCAAATGTTTTTAAGTAGCTTACAGTAACAATCTTCAACCCATGACAATAATTTAGCCCTCATCGCTCACCGACAGCAGGCAGTGTCGGCCCAACTCGAAGAGACCGAAGACTGAGAAGCGCGGCATGCTCTTGAGCTCAGCCTTGATGCCGCGTAGCTGCCACACCATCTGCAACCGTAGCGAAATTTAGGAATTATTGTTTTACTCGACATCAGACGTGATGGCTTTAGGAATAAGGATTCGTTGCAAACATAACGGCCACATTATAAACGCTACAAAGATGGCTATTGCATATTAGAGACGGCACAGATTTTTCAGTGCTCGGACCTACGACTCGCTGCTCGTCTCCGTGCGTTTCACACCTCAACCACGGCGAGTCTACAAAGACTACTACATCAAGCTTTCAATAACCGTCTCCTTGGCCGTGCATCTTGGGGCTACATGATTTACTGAATGGCGGTGCTCGTATTCGATATGACGTGTTCTGAATGTTCTAACGTCATTGCAAATCGCTCACAAGAATTATCATCGCCCTGCCATTAAATCTGTAAAATTCAGTTCACATTTAACATCTCAACCTGATCTATGAATTCAAATTAGTCACTTGTGACCATTGTCAGTAAGATGTCGAATGCAAATTTTAGGTACGTGCCTCTGATTTCTGCTGTTCCAAGCGACCCGCTGCAGCCGTTAGCTTCCTGACCCGCTGCACTCTCTCCTCACACTGAAAAACATGGAAACATTTTTATAATAACGATGCGAATGCTTTAACTAATTACTGCCTATGCTAGACATAAGTTCACGCACTCCTAGAAGCTTTACATCAATGCAGCTGATAGAAGGAAATCCTCATTGGAAACCTGAGTTTCGAATAATAATTTATCACTATATACATCTCTAATTCATAGACGGTTTTTCTGAGCGTGACACTAAAGCTCGTCTGACTGTTTTAACATAGGAATATTAGTTGATAAAGACATTGGAACACTGTCTATTTATTTGATGTAACATCTATTTAATGGAACGAACCCCGTGTGTAATGTTTTTCGCATTTGTCTTAATGTTCGTTGGGAAAAAACACACTTGATTTTCGGGCAAAGAAAAAACTCACCACTTTTAGGTACTCAGTTTGGCAGTCGAGGATAAGGTATAACTGCAAAATAGTTGGAAATGTGAAGAAAACAGCATTCAGGGTCGTATTATGCGATCTTGTGTCAACAAGGGCAAAGAGAACCGCCAGCACCAACTCGTACTGGTCGAAAACGATCGCTCCAAGGACAACGCCTGAAAACGCCTTTTGAGTGTCTTTTACGACGCGACGAATCTTCATCACGCGAATTCTGACTGTGGCCAGAGCAAGCTTGGCTTGTACTTCGGTTCTGTTGTCGGAATATTTTCCAAGCTTCCCAAATGGAACACGACTTGTAGCATTCATCAAATCAATTGTAAGAAGTTTCATTAATGAGTGGAAAATAAAGGGGAGTCCAACGTAGGATAAGTAAATCAAATTATTTCCACAATTGACGAAGAGTATGTACATCGTTGCTGCTTGTTGATAACTGTAATGTTGATAGCTGTAAATCCATTGTTGGCAAACAGCAGTGCCAATTATTCCCAACGCGATATATTGTGACTTGCTAACTGAATTTAGCGTTGATGATGAAATTTTCAGATATCGCATTATTCTCGCGAAGGCCTTGCACGTGACGGGGCTGTTGCTCGTCGTGAACTGGACTGCGATGATGACGTAGGTGAGCGCGATGGATCCCATCTGGACAGAGGGTAATGAATTAGCAAAAGTAAAGCATCTAAAATTATTCAAGCTAGCATTTGCTGAGATTGCAGCTGGCTCCTTAACAATGAAAAACATTCTGCATGAATGGTTGTTTAACTGTTCGGAGGGCCCGAACAAAAGCAATTTACCTGTATTGGAGCAGAACTTCGTTCATTAAAAAGGTGTTAACTGAGTAATTTTTGTTAAATATTATTACGGGGAATAAATCCGATGAGATCTTGAATCGTTGTTCAATATTAATGATATAATTAATTATATTATAAATATCACTAATCATGTTTATAATTAAATCAAGAGCAGTAGAATAATAAAACCAACGCAAGAATCTACATATGTGGGCATTGCATGGAAGAAATATTCTCATTGTTTGCGTGAGTGCTCGATAAATGTGCCCTTTAAAATTTCTTAGAAGCGTCCACGCCACAAATATCTTAACAAAAATATGAGAGTAATTTAATCCTGAACAATTAGTTGATGCTAAAATAAGGGCTTGCGCAATATACATAGAACCCAAAATTTGTTCGAATTATCGCAATAAATTTGTGTGTATCTTTGATTTTGTGAGCCGTTTCACTTTATTTGCACAGGACGTCGGTATTAGAATTTTGTTTGTTTATTTTAGCTATTATGAATATTTTAATACCATGAGAAGCATATGATTTTCAATATTGAAACAAACAGTATTCTATAGAACTTATTTGACTAGCTATTCTAACACTACCAAGATCTGGACAATAATGTAGATGGCCCCGAGTACAGCGCTCACCGACAGCAGGCAGTGCCGGCCCAACTCGAAGAGACCGAAGACCGAGAAGCGCGGCATGCTCTTGAGCCCAGCCTTGATGCCGCGCAGCTGCCACACCGTCTGCAACCGCGATGCAGTTTGCAAAAAAATACAATTCCTATGCTCTAGTGAATCATAGGACAGTTGTAAACAATACAAATAATCTCTATTAGGTAATCGTAGTGCAGTTTCAAAGTATATATTTAGTACGTGGTCGGGCGTTTGCGTGTCGGAATATCGTAGCGTACTTGTAACAATACAATTACTTAACAAAGAGTTTATGGAAGTCGGTTACTGATTAACACTGTTTAATTGAGTACTTGCGTTGTCAGTGACTCCTAATCCAACAAGCGTTTCAACAAATTGGATTTTTAATTTTTTTAAGTTCATCCGGCGTGATCAGTTTGGCATCTTTATGCAGCATATACGAGTGCATATATGAATTTCATATCATTTTATATTCAGGTTGACCATTGGATCGTCACAAGTTTGGCTGTGCCATGATATATAGAATTCAAAGTCTATACCACTGTTTTTCATCCCTTATCGTCTCTGACAATAAATACAAGCATTTTAGGTTCTCGCCTTCCAGTTCTGCGTTCCCGTGCATCCCGCTGCTGCAGTCAGCCTTGTGACCCGTTTCACTCCCTCCTCACACTGGAAAAAAGTTAAGGGTTATTATTCATTACGATTACTATTAATAATTTCCTCTTGTTGTTACGGAAATATTCCAGCCGTGCTATATAAGCCTGATCTCGGAGTTTGCACGTCGAGTGCAGAGTGATATCAGCCAGAATAAAATACTATTAATAAAATAAGTTCAATGATCCGGATGTACTCAATGTAAAATTCCGAATCCACCCTCGATTCTTTTGAGCTACTCTCTAATTGTTCAAGCACGATTCTATCATATCCATCAGTACAATACTCATGTTCTACCCTTTCCGTAATGATGATAAGGCTAGCTTTTATGGAAAGACTTTTAGTTTGCCTGATTAAAACAATGGACATTTTTGCAAAAAAAGGAACACATACTAAGTCGGAAATTGTTTTTGAAGGGGAAATTTTTCTTTTTTTAACAGGCGTGGCTAGTTCTACATCATCGGCACTTCACATAGCTGCGGTCTAATGGTGAACGGTCTTTTCCATAAACTAAATATTAATTACTGTTATATTCAGAAGGCTTGACTAGCTCACGTTTCAATAATGTTGCGAAAGTGAAATGAATTTTTTTATCATAGACATTACCCACCACTTTGAGGTACTCAGTTTGGGAGTCGAGGATGAGATATAACTGTAACGCAGTAGGAAATGTGTAGAAAAGCGAAGATATAACTGAATTTTGTGATATTGTGTCATAAGAGGCAAATAGCACTGCAAGCACTAACTGATATTGGTCTATCGCGATCACTCCGAGGACAACGCCCGAAAATGCTTTTTGGGTTTCAGTTATGACTCGACGAATCCTGATCAAGTTAATCCAGATATTAGCCAGGTCACGCTCGACGAAGTCTTCGTTTGCGTCGTCTTGAAATTGCTGGGCTTCAAAACATGTATTATTCTTCCAATAAATAATATGACTTGTCGACTGCCTCAAATCCAGTGTAAAAAGCTTTATCAGGGAATGAAAAATAAATGGGAGTCCTAAGTATGATATGTATATTAAATTTGATGCGCAGCCCAAGATGAACTTGGACATCGAAACTGCATAATGATCCATTGATGATCTGTAAATTTGTTGACACACAGTGATGACAATTAATCCAGCTGATATATACTGAGATCTGCTAACGGACTTGGGACTTGTTGAGGAATCGTTTAAGTATCGCACAATTCTGACGACGTGAGCGCTCGACGTTAAGAAATGAAACGAGATCAACATCATCATGCCGTAATAAAAAAGTCCGTATAGATCGCGTATCATGAAATATACATCAGATTTGTTTTTCGAATAACCGTTAACCACGTCTGTTATTCTGCACGCAACCGAAATGAAGATAAGATTTTGCATGGAAATGCTGAAGCCGAGACGAACTTGCGACTTCACACAGTTTCCATTGTTGCACTTATAAGGAGCGAGACCCAGCGCCCGCATGAGGCGAAGTGACCACAGGAGCATACTTTTCATTTCACATTGCAACGCCATCATTATTACGGCTCAATGAATACAAACGGAAGTGAGAAAAATTTTTCTTCACGTTATTCATAAATGTTATGTTAGATCAACGGTCAGGAGATGTAATTTCACATTCAAATTTTATTCATAGCGGCAATTCAAACGTCGAGCAAGATTTTTAATGACGGCATTTGGAGCCCGGGAAAGCACTTCACAGCAGACATCCTTTCATTTCACGAGTCTGAAACACTTTCAAACGCCCCCTGAGTTTTCGTAGTGTGATGTGCAAACATGATTGCTTATTGCGCCGGCATTGTAAATATTCTCTTACCGCGAATCGTGCATAGCCTACAACTGATTAAACTATCGGGAATTTTAGCCTATGGTTCTTAGAGGTTCTTAGATATTCGTACATGAATTGAAAAACTTTCATGTGCCCTGTTATTTCATTTGAAACAAACAAGTAGACATTTTCCTCCGACAAAAAAAAAAATGAACGAACAATGCTCCAATATAGTTAAGTGTTCCGATCGCACATTTAATAATCTATTGTACAGTGGTGAATTTTGATATGAATGAAATCTTGCGATGGCACATTAATGTTGTATACACTTTAGACAAGAACTGGATCCATACTGCACGGCGACATTTCTCTTCAAAGTCAAGCT